AAAACTGACCCTGTATTTGGGTCCATTCTCTGAGGGAACATGGGTCTGTTGGGATGGAGCACTGCAGGAATCCTGCCCAGCCTGCATCTTCTTGCTCAGAGATGGCACCTCTGCTAAAAAGCGCAAGTTGCATCGCACGTCCCCATCTGGTTGCTGCTGCAGTTAACGGGATCCTGTGCTGCAGCGACATGCCAGGCAGTGTCCTGGCAAGGCGACTGGCCCAGCACTCCTTTGGTCCTGGTGGTGGGACTGCTCCCCGCGCTCAGAGAGCTTTTCCCTTTATCACCACCTTCAGCATAGCTCGTCCTCTAGTTCCCGCTAGGGAACGTCAAACCTTGACAAGTTCCCCCTAACCCTGACACCCCTCTCACCTGTGTAATGGGGAGAGTTCAAAGCCAAGGGCCCTGCCCATGGCAGATCCACGCTTCCCTCGGGGTGGCACAAAACAATGCCAATGACCTCTGCAGGCCACGTTCCCCAGCACATTTTTCCAGGAGATGACAGGTCACTCAGATAAGAGAAACGCTCAGTGCCACAGAAACAATGCTCTTGCCATAAAGGTCAAAAAGCCACAAGGCATTCACGAAAAATAAACCAAAATTCCTGAATCCCCAAATTGCTGGGCATGTATTATTCACTTCACACAGATGGTGACATGGATGCCTGAAGTACAATTCATAAGTCTTAAATATATGGGATAAGCTAAAATGTGCTTGTATGTAATGATTGTGTTTAACAGTCCTTATCTTCTTCTTGGCCTTACAAAGGCACTAGATTTGTTGCTTATACAAAATAACGATTTAACTCCTATCCCATATTTTCAACAGCTGAAATGTGTTGGGAGACATGATGTGGTGTATGTGTGGCTTCAGTTATTTTCTTACCAAATTTTAATGGACAGATTTTTGAACATCATGACTACATACCCGCAGAAGCCCATTACAATTAGTTTTGCAAGCTGGTAAAGAAAAAAAAATTAATTGATGCACATTCTGGAATATTTGTTCAAAATACAGGGCCATCACCATACAGGAACTTACACATATAAAACAAGACATACACTGTAATTTGTTACATGGCAAACCACTTACTGTCATTAATGCCTAGGCTCTAACACCAGTTGTTTAACTACTCCACCGTCACATATGTTAAGAATGTAAAAGGAATGTTTATTATTGGAAAATGTATCAATTTTTCAGTGGGTGTCTGTCAGCTTAGAATGAAATATCTTAAATTTCATTTTGTATTGTAACAAGTTTTGTTTTCAAAATTATTATCAGTCTGACATTCCTATGGCAATAAAAGCTACAGATATACTGCATCAATATTTGGTCTTGGGGCAAAGCAAAAGAACTCTCCTACCAATCCACTTTCAAATAGATTTTATGCACAATTTATCTAGGAACTGTATCTGCCTTTATGGGTATACTGGATACTTTGAGTAGCATTTCCCCTTTGTCAGTATTAGAAGCCTAGTAAGAAATGCCAAAAGTATTTTATTTCAAAACAAGGCATGGTTCACCCCTGTAATTTTTAGCCTGAAGTATCACATCCTACGGAAGGTGAATCAGCTCATCCCCATCACGGAGCACACTGCAGTAAAACCCCCACCTAAGGTGAGGAAACGATCAGTTTTACCTGCTAACTAGCTATAACCGCCTTTTCTAACTTAGTATTTTATAAACTTATCTTTTGAAAACACATGTTTTTCTTAGTGTATATATAACAAACTCACTTGGTGCAATATATTCCACCAGTAGACAAACCAGATCCTGTTTCCAGACCCATCTGAACAGTATGTGCCCAGAAGTCAATAATGTGGTGATTAATCCAACAAGCTAGGAATGGGCATCCTACATAATACCAAAGAGTAGATACACTGCCCAGAAAATACTATACACAAGCTTTTTTTTTTTTTTTTTCTTAAAAATTGTTGAATTTTGTCAGGCTCCATACCCCTGGATTAACACATACATAAATCCCAAATCACTTTTGTGTTGTTTTTCAAACTGATAAGGGAAAAAAATTAGAAGGAATCCTTCGGTGATGCTGAGATTAAGGCAGTATTACAACAGATGACGAGTCAGCTGCCAAAAAGTAATATGAAGCATAATATTTAATGCATATTAGTTATTTTTCCCTAAGACGCAAGTGTTCTTTTTTATTTTTTTTATTTTTTATTTTTTTTGGCAACAAAGACAAAGCTTACTGTGATAAAAACAAACCCTTCTGAAACCAGATAGCTCAGGTACAAGTAAGTGCAACTGCTGAATACGGACAGTTGAGTCAACCACCTTCAGCCATGTCTTTGCAATTCTTTCCTCAAGAAAGTACTTGGGTAAATACACTTCTTGAGAACAAATATTCAAAGCAGCCTGGACAGCATACGGGTTCCATGTTTAGGAACAAGTAAGGCTCCAGCCAACATACTGCTAACTGGCTAAACTGGGAAGTGGGATAGAGAGCAATACTAGGCTGTTCTGATTCCCAAAGGAAGGAAACACACAGATGGGTCTACTTAGATCTGCAATAACTACTGGCATGCCAGGTTTTTGTTTGCCTTAGATTAGTTTCTTTTCAATTAAGCACCATTTTAATTTAAATTGTGTGCTGATTTACAAACCACTGCAGTGAATTATGAGTTATCGAGGGCCAATAAATTTGCAACAATACTTCTGAGTTTTTCCAGAAACCAGGAAACTTTTTTCTGGACACACAAAGAGCAAAAGGTACTTGCACTGGAACATATTACCAATGAAAAACTAAATAGGTCCTGGTTGTAGCTTGTGGCATACTATACAGTAGGGCTATTACTATGCTGAATATAGTCAAAGTTTGAAAACTGAACAGACCTCAGACAAATGGTAGGAATCAGGGACTGAAGCACACCAACATTTTGTAGGAAAATTAAAAGCACTCTTCACTAGATGCCTGTTATCAGAAGAAATAAAAACACTGATACTTTCCGTATTAAAGAGAAAAAAGGGAAATACTGACTACTGAAGTAAGAATAAAATAATTTACTGTATAGCTCATGCACACGTTCTGCTTTTCACAATACACTTCGTATTCTCTTTCATTTTTACTCCTTACCAATGGTCAAAGCTTCATCTACATTGCAAAACTAAATCATTGTTGACAAATGGGTGCAGCCAAATATGATTTCCTTTGTCTACACTTGTAACAAGAGACATACCCTGCTCTAGCTCAGCTGCACCCTTTGTTGTCATCAACTGTCAACAGCAGTTCCACTTAGTGCTCTAAAGAGAGCCCAAACAATTTGGAAAGAATGATTTAAACTGAGTGGGTCCCACCCGGCTCCTCCAGAACACACATGCAGAACAGCTGATACAAGAAAAACATTTAAAAATGATTAGGAAAATGAACAGTAAAGACCCACCAAATCTGGCAGAGGGCAAATCTGGCAGAGGGATTCAAAGCATCTGAAGTTACTTAAGTGTTGTGACACACACACACACACACACAAACACAACAACAACAAAAAACCTGACACAACCTGACTTGTGAGTTGCCTGAGTTAGACTCACCCGTTTCTCCTTCACTAGGTCATACAGGAGTCTGTGATAAAGTCATTGACAATACCAGTTACATTAATGGTATTAAGTTAGATTTATTTTCTGTGAAAGAAAATCATAAGCGTTATGAACTGGAAGAAAGTAACGCCATGACTAACTTGAAAGGTAGTCTGTCACTTGCCATATAAAAGTCAAATCCAACTTGGGCAGATTGCACTGGTGGAGTCTACCATGACTTTAAATCATGCTGATACTCACTCTCACACTTTAACAGCCAAAAGAATTATAATCTACTTGGATTAATGCAGTACACTGTCATTAGGCTGGCAATTAAATTCCATTTCTGAGATTGTGTGATCTGAGTCACCAACATCTGCAAATATCTTTACATCTTGTGTAATAGCTGGCCTCAGATCTTGATACGCCAAAGTAAAAAGGCCTTTTTAATGGCTCCCACGTTATTTTGGACTTACAACTTCATGATGACAGCAGCTTCTCAAAACAGCCCATAAATCAAATTTATTATCCAGTTTGTCATGTGGGATTTCTTAACTCTAAGCCAATATAGCAACAATGAATCAAGGTCATTGTTTACAGTGCATGAATAAAAATTAACCACCTGTTCAAAAATTTTTTAACATTGAAAGGTATTTGGTCTCTAACACTTTTGATATATACAGCACTTAACAGTTCTTACACGTATCTGTGTATTTGAGAAGCCACTCTCAAACAGCATCTCCTCTCATGCCAGCTACCTTGACTTTAAAAAAAATGTCAGCCATCCTACTGCTTCCAACACCAATAGTTACACAATAGCAGACAGACAATGCAGTTTCATGATGCTTGCCCTAGGAATTAGTTTTCTCCCCACCAGTATCATTGAATATTTAAGCAGGTCAGTGATTTTCAAGTGACTCTTCAGTGATAAGGACAGTAACATACAAAGACTTTTTTAACTGCCATACAGATCAGAGAAAAGGCTGACTTTGGAAACATTTTTCCATTTCTTCCATTGAAGAAAGAAAGAGCTACTACCTTCTACCTCTGCTACCTTCTCCATGTTATGATAACCATTTCTTACCTTAGAGCTTAAACATGATGCCTAATAAATCTTTAAGCAGACAGCTCTGAATAAGGAATGTTATCTTCAAAAAATCCAGTCATCCTTTACTCCTTTAACAATTATTTGCAGTACTCGTAATATTAGAGAAACATACCCTGTTTACAGCCAAGAATCCTAGAACACAACCAGTAAATACACCACCTAGAAGTAACCACAGTGAAAGCCAGGGAATTTTGTTTGACACACACACAGACACACAGAGTTTTTCTACTGGGTTTACTTTAAAGCAGACTGCATAAAGCGACCCAAGACCGTGCAAGCATTTGCATTCATAGCTCAAGAGGGTCATCCCAAGGCCCCCAAGCCCTTCCCACTAGACGTGGGCATTCTGTGGGCAGTACCTCCTTGATCCGCTTCACAAGCGCATTCTGATCAAAAGCAACCGCTTCTGCACATTGGTGAAGGTGGTCTTGGTACCGGAGACACAGCTGTAGCACTTGGTGGGGGTCCAGCTTTTCCAGTTTGGTGTTGGTTGGAGAGGTCTGCCCACTGAGGAGTCCTAGGCGGCAAGGGAAGGAACGGAGTTAATCTGGCTGTTCACAGAACCAGTTTAACTGCAAGCAGAGAGGCAGCACAACATGTCCAGAAGAAAAGCTTGAAAAGGATGAATAAAAAGCTAATTCGGGTTTGAAGACTACTGAATGGACTGTAACAACATAATGGTCCAGTGAAGGCTAAAAGTGGGAAGGGCACGGATAGAAGATTTATGGACGTTTAGGATTCATAGCAGTGCAAAGAATAGTTTGCCATACAGCTTACCCCTCCTTGACAGAGCTTAAACGCAGAATCTAAACATAGTACCATAATGCACAACAGCTTGGTTCCCAGTGACAGGCTGCATAAAGCAAGTCCTGCTTCATCTCCGTCACAAGCAATTCTGAACTCTGACAAATGAGCCCCCTCCTCATTTATGTATGCCAGAAAGGGAAGGAGTGGAGTTCTGCAATCCCCTAAGGGCATGCGACTTGATCTATTTTCACTAGAATCTCACTGTCAAAAACAGATTTCTAAAAAATCATTAAAAATTCACTGGTCCCCCAAAACAAAGCTGAGTGAAAAACGACCCACCTAGGTTAAATTAAAAACTGGGGTGAAACGCTAATGTTTTGCCTACCTTACCTTTTTCAAAGCTTAACTTAGATATATATTTTAAGATCCTCACCTACTCACATGACTCTAGGTTTCACAAAAAGCTCACCAAAAAAGTGTGAGACTTAATACTGGGCCACTGTTAATGTCCAGAGGAGCTAAAGGCAAAACCGTCCAGCAGAGAAACTTCTCCTGCCCATTTTTTGTTGCTTGCACAGTGCAACTTGAGAACCCTTACTGAGCTCAAGCACGTGTGTCATACTGTCAGCTTTCTCCACAGCTTCTGGAAAAAGTTATACTAAATTCTAAGGCCATCCTTTTTTGTTATTTCCTTTATTTATTTTCTTTTCATTTTCCTCCAGCATTAGCACAACTTCTTTCTAGTTGGGATAACATCTGTGACAAACAGCACACACATGCAATCAGCTTTTTCCAAAACTCCCGTCAAGCTATGTAAACTGAATTCAGCAACTGCATGCATGTGCTCTCTGGGGCTCTCCGTTTACTGACAGGAAAAGACATTAAAACAGCAAATGTAAGCAAGTATCATACTAAGCAATTAAAAGGAGTAATAAATGCAAGTTATTTGGATTGGAAAAGTTCTTCTAAGAATGTACCTCACTGGGAAATAGAAAGTATTTTGGATGGCCCCCATGCCTATTGCAAGCTACAAACAAATTGTGACATCAAGTTCTTGCCAAAACACTCACAAATAAGACAGAAACCAAGACTAAGTCAGAAATATCTTATGAATTTAAGAAAGTTAAACCTCTTCAAAAACATTTCCAGACAGAAATGAAAACAAAACTAGGAGAGCAATCTCATCAGATATGATGAAGTAGGTTTACTTCGCATCAACACTCACCGTTTTATTCTCTCAGGATGCTCTCAATTACCTTTTACATAAAACCCATCCTTTCCTTATCTTCAGTGGAAAGAAAGAAAGAAAAAAAACATATAATTTTGTTTTGCTGACTTATCATCCACTACAGTTGCACTGCCTGTATCAACAGGTAAGGAGAGGAGATAGACAGTTAACCATTTGGTCTCAAAAACCTGTATTAGCCAAATCCTTTTTTATGTTCTAGAAAGAATTACCTCAAACAAAATCTTAGGTCCAGCAATATCAATTGCAAATCTTTCAAGAAAACTTTCAGCTGAAGTGCAAAACTTTAATGAGAGCAAATACATTGAAAGAAATGAAACTTTTTTTTTTTAATGTATACATTACATTTACATGTTTTAGCATTCCTTCAGTTTGTTAATTCTGATCTTCTGTAAATTTATCTTGTCAGGATAAGTATTCAAATAACGTTGTCAACTTTTAATATGTTGAATGTTCACACAGGAATGAAAAGTTCACCGTACACCCGAGGCTGTTACCCTGTTCCTGCACTGATCAAAATATATGATGCTATCAACCAACTAATTTTCTTTTATTGCTAATCTCTCACCAACTTCAAGAGGAGGAAGAGAATTAGGCTCTGTTTAATAGATTTAATTAAAATGAAGTGTGTATTTTGGCTAAGCTAAGAATTATAAGAGTTGTGAAGCGGAACAGGGCAAGGACTGTAGAATGAGCTGTAAAGGACTATGTTACTCAAATTTATATTTTGTACTTACAACCCTGTACAGGTTGCAAAACACTAAAAGCAAAATTAATAAACTATAAAGAGTATCTTATTCAGTATCCAGAAAAACATGAACTCAAGTGAACGGAGACATTAGCTGGACTATCTTCATAAGGCAGAAGTTCAAATATAACCCAGTAAAAATGATTGAAGCCATAATAAAAACCAAACAGCATACATTGTTTAAAGATAAAGGATAGCATTATTTTGGTTGATGCAGTAGGGAGAAGCCAAAGCGATTAGCTTTTCTCGAGATCTATGGCTCATGCTGCCCATGCCAGCAAAGAATTTAGCTCTGAATTTCAACTTGTAGGAAAAGAAAGATGGAAGTGAACAGAGGCATGAAAAAAGCCATGCAGTCTTCTATCTGGCAGATATTCCCCTCATCAGAAATTGATCCCCTGTTTTTTGTCATTCACAGTGACTACTTACTGCCCACAGCGTAGATATTAAAATTTTATTAATTCATTGCATTTTATTTCTTAGCAAATTGGTAGCTTTGCTCCAAATGAGCAGATGGCAGCAGTAAGTCACCTTGACACTTCGTGGAAGTCTTCAAACATGCAGATTCCAGAGAGATTTTACCAGGGGAGCCTTGGGAAATAGGAACTGAGATGTGGGGCTGGGAAGGACCCTCTGGAGTCCAGATCTCTTTCCTGCCTCCTCTCCCCAGGAGCAGACAGCAGGCAGCAAGCCCCAAAGGCTTTCATGCAATATCTGCTCCACAAGCTCTGTCCTCCAGAGATAGCAGCACGCTTCCCTACACCCTTGAAAAATTGAAGATCCACAGGAAAACAGCCAAACCAAGAGCGATACGTGGAAAAAGGGCAGGAGGTTAAAAGGGTGTTGCTTGTATCCTTTGTTCGTATACAACAGAAAGCTGAGGAGACCAGCTAAAAGCCATCAGCAATTCAGCATTGAGGAGGTTTCGTTTCTAGAGCAGATAGCCAGCACTGCGAACTTCCAGGTATTATTAAATAACTCGCTTCTTGAAAATCACAACTTCCTCCTCAAAGCTTTGTCCCACACTTTGAACTCTTCACCGAACAGGCCCATCCTCAGGGTTGGAAGCGGGACTAGTCGACAAGCAGTTTTCAAAAGGATATGAGATCATATCTGTTGCAACAAAACATTTATTAGGTCAGTCTTTCAAGTGCCAAAAGGTGGAGGGAGACAGAGGTCCCCGCGTGGTTCAGGCTCACTCCAGACACAGCTAGCACTTGAACCTGCTCAGCAGCGAGTACCTAAGTGCTGAGCTGCCGCTATTTCACCGGGGAAAGGGTGTTCCTGTGATTTCATCGCTGTGATTATTACTTTTCTTCCCCTGCCCCCTCCAAGAGCGCATTTCTGCTCTTACACAGGAAGAAAACAGAATCTGAAGTCTTCAAGTCTTATTAAACTGAGTAGTCGTTTCCCAAGCTGTTGGTTCTCTTCCAAAGCGAGAAGCACACCCAGCACGGCTTTTATACTGACTGAACCGTAGAGGAGAGAACGCTTGGCACATGAGAGCCACAACTTCCCCCGTGTGATAAGGGAAGGCGGCGCGGAGGATGTCATGGCTTGGGGAAAACAAAAACGGGGACATGGGAGACAGACTACTGCCGAGCTTCAGTGTACAGACCAAAAATGCTTTGGCAACTGCCAAACATGCACATTCTTAGCTATCAAATTACACTGTAAAACGAATAAGACGACAGACCACATTACGTGCCTGCCATGATGAAGAGAAGTCAGGATCTGCTGCTTGCTCTGGATACATCCAATGAACAAACAGTGTACCCATGAAGGTGATAATAAGCAATGGGACAAACAGACAGAGATTCACATTTCAGCTCCTAAATGGTGCTTTAGGGAGAAAAAGAAAAGCACACCAAGTATGTCGTGCATAGAAAAATATCATATATCACTACAAGGCTGGCTGACCCATGGACTTGACAAATCTGTTATTGTTTCCATATTCCTTGGCAAAGCAGAGGCATGTTAAAACCATTTTCCTCCTACTTAGTCATCTCCTCGTTGGTTCCAGGTCAATGTACACTTCCAACAAATCACATCCTACTGAGCAGAAGAAAGCTGTTAGTTTAAAAAGCATTTTTATGACTAGAAAAGTTTCTGAGAAAATGCTTTACATGGTATACTGACTCTACATACGTACAGAGCCCAGTTACCAACCACAGTTGTGTTCTGCTGCTTTTAGGGACAATCCTAACAACAATGGGAGTGCTTTCCAACTTGAAACATATTATTACTTCTTTGTGACTTATGTAGTACCCTTTCAAGCAGTAATGGCAGACATCACAGAAAGAAAATAAAATGTCCGATGTTGTTAATTTATTTATCACAGGCAACAGAGCACAGGACACTGTGGTCTTCTTACCTATTTAGAGGCCAGAAGGGTTATGGTCATTCAAGTAATCAACCCTTCTGTGGAATGGAAGAGAAGACTTCTATGGTAACCACTTGTTTAATAAGACCAGAAGTTTACCTTGACCAGAATAGTACTCCCAACATTTCACAACAGTGGACATTTAGAAAAGAAGGTCTTCATCTCTGCTTCGTCCTCTAGCACACTCATCCTACCTCCAAGTTATTTTTTCTCGGAAATTTGTAATACTGTGGTCTGTGAAGCTCTGACACTTAAATTTCTGTGCAACAGCAGCAATCTAGAGTGGAGTGTACTTTTTTCCATTGTGTTTCCCAGATTAAGAACCCACAGTTAAGTCTCCTCTCCTACAGAAGACTTAATTTCTCTGATTATTTCTCTAACTCGCTCAAAGAA